TATTTTGAAATATTTGACAGTATAAACAGGCATTTAGTATTATGGACGCCGAGCTTTAATAGGGAGTTTACGAATCACGAGTCACGACGCGGCAAGCTCGACGACGAGATTGCAAAACAAAGAAACTCCACACGCGTAGACAATAGGTATACGGCATATTTGTGGTCCCATTACAGCGTTGTCATTCTTACGACGCCTTCGAATGAAGCATTTTCACAGCCTCTCGATGACATGAAAGCAGCTGCAACGTGATAGCTGTTTTCCAGGTTACATGAAACTGCAATATCAGCTTCATGTTGGAGGTTCTTGGCGCAATTGAGACGTTTGTATGATTATTTTCTTGGGAGTTTGGTTAATTTAGGCCAAATAATTGACTCGCGACGTCGAGTTAACCGCGTCATAGATCGTAAACTTTATATTGTTAATGCATGCAAGCATGTTGATTGAAACTGATCCGCGGAAATTTATCGCGAAAATTAATTTTGCGTTTCCCTAACAATTCAAACTTTTTACTATTAAAGGATATATTGGTTGAAAATTACTGGCGAAAAATATTACGGAAAACAGCTACAAAATGACAAGCACATTGAAAACTGATTCACATAAAAGGTAATTCGTATTTGCAGTATTATTATTATTTTTATTTTATAATTATGAAGAAGCACAATAGAGCTATGCACACCATAGTTTGAACCAACCTCAACGTTGACTTTGGAAAGAAAGATAGTAATTATTGTTTGTATATATGAGCGCCAAACGTGCTGGAAACTTTACATATGACAAGCATTTGATCAATAAAACAGCGTGGTTATCCATGTCAAAATATTTGATTTCATAACCAAAGCATGGTTATATTGAAGTTAATGAGTTCACGGCAACAAGGTATATAATCAATCGTAAATATCGCTACTCTGGTTTTAATAAATGAAAGTAATCACCACACAAAGATTAACTTTCACGACCCAACGTTTCGACACTCCGGTCTAGTGTCTTCATCAGGGGTGATCTGGTATTGAAACTCGGTTCTTTATACACTCTCAAAATGACGTCATCGATCAATCAGATGTAAATATTCTTTTGGCAAATAGCTTCCGTCATCCCTATTTAGGGCTCAAGGACTCGCATTAATATGCCAGGCTTCCAAACAACGCTTTGTCCATAACGATCATTAGTGGTAATGACTTTTGATTTTTGAATCGTTCCACCCGATGTTATGGTTAGTTTGACACACTTGTTCCGCCAAGGCTGATTTTGAACTGTCTAAGTTGAAAACGGCCTTTTGATGTTCTTTTAAACGTGTGGCGAAGTGGCGTTTTGTTTCACCTAGATATTCTTTCTCGCAATCACCACATGGTATAGAGTATACAGCATGTGTTTCGTGAAAACAATATATAGTATGATTATTGACATTATATGCATTAATTAAGTGGAAACACGGACCACGTGGCAAACCTAAAAATAAGAAACACGTTGTTGCAAAAATCAGGAGTTTTACGATCTAGAGTATTAGGCCAAAGAAATCAAATAAATACTTAGAAATTATATGATATTTGGAAAGTCTGTATTCGCTGGTTGTTTAATTCTAGCGAGCCAGCATCCGTTTTCTGGCGAGCCAGCATGCGGATATCGCGAAAATATGTCTCAGTGCATGTCTGAAAGGGTGTTAAGGCAACTTTTATACCACAATTATTCAGGATCCTCCTGATTGGTCTGCAATTCCCTGAATGTATAGAACTATACAAAACCTTTTTTTGAGGAATCACCCTCTGAGGAATTGCATCTAGTCGGGACAGGGGATTTTAGACAATCATTTAAAAAGTTTCGTGGATAATTGTTCTCTCTCAGTACACTGAGCACATAATCACTAGGGACAACGAGCGTGAGTATGTCCTCAGTGTAAATTAAATATATAATTACTTATAGCTAATTGTTGTGGCAATAGCCACAACAGATGCGACTCCAAATTTCTAATTAGATTAAAAGGATTAGAGCATTAGCGCTTGGTGTTAAAGGCTACATTTATAATTTATTTATTTTTACCTAAATCTCTCTTCAAAGTCATAATGAGAATGTATTCGTCCCAGCATTCTAATCACCGACCTAAAAGTTACGAGGCAATTGTCTTCACCACTACACTTAGACTGATAGGACAAGCAATTGGCTATATTTATAAAACAGCGTGGTTATCCATACCAGGTATCAAAATATTTCACATCATAACCAAAGCAGGGTTATAATGTTTAATGTTTCTATATAGGCACAAAACATGCTTGCAACTTTGCATAGGACAAGCATTTGACTATTAAAACATCGTGTTTATATGTATCAAAATATTTGACATCATAACCAATGCATGGTTATATTGTTTAATGTTTGTATATGAGTGCCATATAGTGTATATGAGTGGAAACTTTACATAAGAACAGAATTAGACAATTTAATTAGCATGGTTATCCATGTCAAAATATTTGACATCATAACTAAAGCATGCTTATATTGTTTAAGTGGAAATAGTATATTATAATAGAGATTTGCCTAGGTGACTTTTTCACGTCAATAGCGAGATTATAATGATAATGGGCAAAATACCGAATATACGTGAATCTATTCACCAAATGTGAATTGCATGGGAAGCAGGGTTTCCACAACTTATTTGCATATGACTGTCCTCATAGAGGGATAGCAATCACAAAAGAGAGAAACAAAGAACTTTTGAAAAGAATGCATAAAATATTCTATTTATTAAGGTGATCCACTACAAAAAAAAATGATTTATCCTGTTTTAAGGGATGCAAACTTAAATGTATCTCTAAGCGATGCTGAATATTATTTTTTGATAATAAACCTAACTAATTCAGCTCCGAGGCAAAAATATTTAGAACTAAATAAAACCAATTCCGTCGTTCTAGAGTTAAAACCTGGTTTGTTATCGTGTTTACAAAAACCGTCTATTTTCCACCATTGGGTGTGTCTGGTCTGGGTAACTATAGTGATTGAAGATTCCTACGAGTCTTTTTTTACTCAGAGCAACTTGGCTTGTAGTATGGCATGAACAGATATTTATATTTTTCTGTTTTGGACCACCTTAAAACAGATCCAGGCCTCCCTCCCTCGTGGAAAATTTCCTTGCATTATGGAAACCCTGGTGGGAAGACACACTTGCTTCAAACCAAGTAATTATGTAGTACTGAAACTACAACTACAACTACAACAACAATTGTAAGCTATTGGACTTACAGACGAAATGCGTCGGAAAAAACTGAATATATGAGCAAACACCATGCACCCATGAATATTGTTCTAGATTCGGACCTGCTGCTAATGAGTGAACAATTATTTGCCGAAAGCGCTGTGAATATCTACTGAAAACAGCTCATAATATTATTTTTGTCACCCAGGTCAAAATTAACAACATTACCAGAGAACCACAAACGATTCTGCGTCTTTGGAATTGCTCTCAACCATGTCGTCGTCCCTGCAATACGTCCAGTTCTAGAGCAGGAAATTCTCAAAGAGTACAACGACCTTAAATTGAACCACAATATTCATGTTCAGACCAGACACAGCTTTCCTTCACCGAAATATCCAGCTGGTAATGCCATGAAATACGAAAACATCAACGGGAATGATACCAAGTTAAAAGCCCCACACTATAAAAAGTTTGATTACTCCAAGTTTGACTACAAAGTTAATTCCCATGTTGACTTTGCCAAGCTTTTTCTCCAGAATTACATGGCTAAACTCAGCGCTTTCGATGAAACCTGGGATGCATCCGCTGTTCTTAATATTATACTTGGAAAGGTTCCTGTGTTTTCTGCTGCTCTCCAAAATGCGGCAAATGTTGTTAGAGAATTTAGAAACACTTGGGCACATTGCGTTTCTACTGAGTGGAATGAATCCAGCTTCAAGACGAGTTTTGACGACATGGAAAAACTGCTAAGAGAAGTTGGTTTATCTCCTGCAGATAAATCGAAAGTTTTAGCGTATTTTAATGACTGGAAAGACAATGGTATGTATTTTTTATGTGATTATTTGCTTGTTGCATATTCTATTCCGTATTGCATGATAAAAGAACAGTGGCGTAGCCAGCCTGACGATTTAGTCATGCTATGCAAATTTTATGTTATTATCATTATTCATTTCTTTAGAAATTCATTGTTTTCACAGTCAATAAACACCAAAATATTAGCATAGCATGACTAAATTGTCGGGCTGGCTACGCCACTGTAAAAGAAAAAAAGTTTTAGATAAGAAAATTGGTCTCAGAATGGTTTTTAAATTATAGTTTTTCTTGTTTTAGGTGTCGCATTGTGTATGAATGCTTCAATTGATTCGGAGCTAGTTAAAGTAATGCAAGAACATCTTACTAAATTGTCAAGTGACCTGAACAAGATGGCGTTTGAGAGTCAAGAAGAATTGTGCAACTTGAAAGAAATTTTAGATAATATTCACGAAAATTTACAAAATTGCAACAAACGAGTTAAAAATATGGAGCTTACCCAGGATACCATGCAACATGAACTAAGTTCCACAATTGACAAAGTAGAACAGCTAAAAACCAATCAAGAAGTTATCCAAAAAGAACAGAGTTCTATTTCAGCCAGAGTTGATTTACATCAGGCCGGACATGAAGCCATTCAACAACAGAATATTTCTTACGGTATTGTTTAAATCTTGCAATTAGTTATCATTTATAAAACTTACTTAAGATAAAATCGGACATTTTTTATCCTCCGTCTATGCAATCCGAATTCTCTTCCCATTTGCGAAACAATTTGTTGCGCACACGGTAGTTTGTTCTGTTTTTTGTTTACCAATTATATTGGACGAAATTCCAATGAAAATAAAATTTTGCAAGATTAGTATTGTCACAGTTTCCCAGTATTCTATATCTGAGCTAATGATTAATCTGGTTGATCCATGAATCAAGTTACTTAGAGAGGTTTTAGTTATTAGTATGTTACATGCTTCATAATTGAGGCTAAATTTTTGAAATTTTTAGGTTTCTCCGATTGTACTTCTGACATTGAATATTTTGCTGGACGTTACGATCCAGACACAAGACTTTGGCTACTGCAAGATTTCAACAAGTGGTTCAGTGATTCTGGTAACTCCAGAGCCTATGTGCTGCTGGGTGATGCCGCAGTTGGCAAAAGTGTCATGGCTGCTGTCGTCATTCAGAGAGCAAAGAAAGATGGAAACATGGCAGCTGCGTACTTTTGTCGTCACTACGATGGCACACGTCGTGATCCCAGGTATCTGCTTGGTACTATCGCTTATCAACTGTGTAATTGTAATAGTCAATATGATAGAGTTGTGGGAGGGGAATCCGGGATACAAAATATGTTGACTAATGCTAAGCTAGGAGTTCACGAGCTGTTTACAAAATTGCTAGAAGAGCCATTAAGTAAATGCAGTCCCATTGCGAAAAAACTTGTTGTGATTGATGCACTAGATGAGGCAGAGTATTTGTCCAGAAAAGATTTTCTTGATCTCATAATGAACCGTTTTCCAATGCTTCCTAAATGGCTCGTTTTCTTCATCACTAGTCGACCGGAGGACATCGTCCATTTCAAATTGCAAACGTACAACCCATGTATTCGAATTTGTGCAGGTAATAGCGATAGTGCAGGCTTTTATGAACAGCATAAACAGGATATTCAGCGCTTTTTAGAGAATAAGATAAACTTTGTGGGTCTGCCCTACACTGCTGAACAACTAACAGAAAAATGCAATGGAATGTTTTTGTACGCTTTCTACATTGCGGAACATCCTGACCAGTTTAAGGATGGTGCACATATTTTCCCTGATAATATTAACGAATTCTTCTACAAAAATTTCGAACGCGTCAAAGAAAAAATAGGTAAGGATATTTATAGAAAATTGTTCGGCTGTGCTTTGGTGGCGCCTTCTCCACTTCCTGTTTCATTTATTTCGTTTCTTTTGAAAAGAGAAAACAACGCTTTAAATGAGCAAGAAGTGATTGATGCTGTTTCGCTGTTTGTTGCCTTACGAACTTCAGATAAAACCTTTGCGTTTCTTCACGCTTTGATTCCGTCCTGGTTAACTGACGTACAAAAGGCGTCTCGAGAATTGTTCATTGACAAAGTTGTGTCAAGCAAATACTTTACAAAAATCATCGTTGAATTTCTCCATTGTTTTCTTGAAGAACAACAAAATGACCCTTCGTTTGACGAGACTTCACCCGATGTAGTGACATATATCTTAGTTATTGGATTTCGTTTGTTGTATCAGTCAGGTACAGATGTGTCTGTTAACTCTGAAATTGTTTTTAGGTGCCTGACAAACTACTACTTTCTTAAGCAGCGATTAGAAAGTAACAAACTAGGAATTTATTCTCTCCTTGAAGATCTAGAGTTATCTGTTTCCAATATGGCGTTTGATCAGGAGAAAAAAGCTATCCTAGATAACATCGCTTCGGTTCTTAGGGAAGACAAATATATTGTTCTTGGAAGTTCTGAACTTCTCGCCTCTTGTCTCCGGAAAGCATCTCAGCTTACACAGGCCAATATTAGGCCTCCAAATGTTTTAGCTCACAGTGGAATTATCCAAGTCCAGTCATGTAATGCATTCGATCATTCGATCTTTGTCAGGAATATTTTATGTGACATGAAGTTCTGTACATCCTCTCATAACAAAAGCTTCCCTGCTGGAGGGAAAGGACGATATATATTTTTGTATGACTCGGGTTCTTTCCAAAAAATTTTCGGGCCAATTGAGGTGGCGATTGAAAGTAACCAATGTATATCGCATTTGGAATTTTCACCAGATGACAAATTCATATTTTTTGGGAGACTTGACCGATGGTTATCAGTGGAGGAAGAAAGTGTCGTGGAGAAAACTCAGTTTAAAGGGAACTCTAAATGTTATGAATGGGGTTCGTTTATTTCTGATGGCCAATATATTGCGGTGAGTAGGCAAATTCCTAAACATCCCTTTTGTTTGCGTCACATGCTTTCTAGATGGGCAATTAAGGAGTTGGCTTTATGTGGTGAACTTTGTCCGAAAGAAAGATGGTTAGGTTATACTCGGGAAATGCATGATGAAATCCTCTTACCGTTTGCTGGTTCGCACAAAAATTGTGAGAACTATAAAGAACTTGACAATCCGGAGATGGATATTCGCGAAAGAATTTCTTTTTATTATGCTGATATCTTTGAGCGTCAAATCTGGAATGTCGAGACTGGAAGGCCTGTGTTAGAAGAGATGTTTTCCTCGCAGATGAAGTCAATGCCATTTTTCTATCTTTGGCACATTTTTTCAGTCATGCCTATTGAATATATCATATCACATGCAGAAGATATTGCGCTTCATGACATTGCAATATTTCACGCCTTTTCTAGAATTTTTGGTCGGGTGATCACTGTAATGGACGAACTGACAACTGACTATACAAGCATCAGTGAGGAACGTTTTTTTGAACGTTTTTTTGAAGAATCTCAGCTTTTAAGGGAACGTTTATTGCATTATGTAAATGCAAAATTACGTAGGGAGCAGGAGACCATCTTTAAGGACTGTTCTCCGTGTGCATTAACTGTAGAAGAAGATCACCTGCCAAGTGAGAAAAATATTCATTACATTTCCCAAAGTTTAGAACATGATCTATTGAAAAAGATAGGTCTTCTAGAGAGGGACGATATCTCTTTAATGCCTTTTACAACATGGCAGAAAAGGTTTTACGGCAAACATTATCTTCTCGGAGCAACGGTAAACGAAGATATGTTAGAACAGTCTTCTCGAGGTAAAAATAGATATACTTTGCCTGCAAAGTGTTTTGGTGACTCTCGTAGTGCCACTAATGGGAAACAGCTTGCGATAGTTATTAATAGTAAGTTCAAGCTGCTTGAAGCTGATATAAACGAAAGATTTCGGAAAAATCCTACAGCTTGTTTTCTCTATATCGAAATGTTGTATGATCTTGCTTTCATCCACGACGATTATATTTTCTATGTTTCTGGGCAGAAACTGTTCAAAGGTTCTCTTCAGACAGGCAAAGATATTGAGTGTACTTCACGATTTGTCCCGTTTCGTTGCTCATTTGAACACGACCACCACGGTGAATTTCAATATATTTTCAGTGGCTTTGACAATGAGACCAAAGGTATCTTATTGCAAAATTTGCCTGGAGAATTTCTTCGTAAATGCCTGTTTAGAAAATATACTAAACCGACTCAGCCAGATAAAGTTACATTCACCTCACCTCATTCAATAACATTTCTCTTTGACGATGGATTGTGCCTTTCGTACAACTTAACCGATAAAGACATGATCCAGCACGACATTCGATACTTAGGTAAGAATGAGCACTCAACAAAGGGCCTCGTGAAGAAATTTACTTTTTCTCATGGTGGAAAAATAATCGCTATGCACCAAGGATCTGAGCTCATTTTATTTAAAGGTGGAGAGTTTCTTTGCTCAGTTTTTAATGTCAAAGAAGAATGTGAACACATTTTTCCTTGTCTAACATTTTCAACTGATGATTCTTTACTTCTATTTTCCGTCCAAAAAGGTGGTGATGACCAGTCTTTCTACGTATGGGATGTGACGAATAGCGTTTTGTCTGATCCTTTAAGCCTTCCATATACGATGCATATAGAAAGTGTTTGTTTTTCTTCAAATAGGACCAAGTTGTATTTCTGTAACGCATTGTCTGTTATGGTACTAGATTATCCTCCAAAGCTCTCTGCTAGATCTTTTAACTTTTTGGATGTGCCTAACGTGCATCACATAGCACAACGTAAATGTAATTACTGCACCGTCTCGTCTGACAATAAGCTATTGGCTTGTTGTATTGGTAATGAGATTCTTATCCACCCTGTTAATGGTCCAAATAGTTTTTGGAATGTGCCAAACAATCATACGGGTAGAATTGAATATTGCAAATTTCTGCGAGAGAATCGCTATCTGATATCTTACGGTATCGATGGTGTTGTGTTTTTGTTTGATCTCTTTGTGTGGAAATCCATCGCATACGTGAGTCAAGGATCGATTATCAGCATGGCGATGTCTCCAGACCAGGACAAAATTGTTTCGCTTGGATCTTCTGGTGAGATAAGAATGGTTAAACTCTTCGGGCTCAAATCCGGGCTGCCTCCAAATTTCAAGTTACCCTCAGATTTTCGTGTGCAAGCGAATAGCGAAAAACAAGAATGGAAAGTTCTTCCACAAAACCTTCCATCATCTTTTGAAAAAGAGCATTTGATTGAGATGACATTTTCTGATCATAGCAATAGCAATACTAGCAGTGACGAAGATGAATCAGGTTAGATTTCACTTTTGGCCATGCACATGCAGTAATTCATAAAAACAGGTTTCCTTTGAAATTGCGATCTGTAGTGTGATGCGTTATGTTTGAAATTACGATCAGTAATTTGGAATGATTTAGAATGTTCTTTGGTTTGTCTTTAGTCGTTCAAAAATCTGTTTCTATAGAGTCGGTGCGGCTAAGTGAAGCTAAAACTTTGGCGACGATATCCATAGTAAATTGAGGTAACATAAAGAAAAATTGAAAAAGAAAGAAAAAAATTATTAGAATATGCAACATATCTTTTCAAAACCAAATATCACAAACTCAAAACATTGATAGACGTTTTAGGCATTCTTGCATGTTAACTTTAGTATAATAGAGAAATTGTAGATTATTTTTGCTTATTACCAAAGCACGCGACTGCATGACTTAAGTTTAAAAAGTAATTACTTCATATCATCCGGACTGATTTGTAATTATAGCTGCACTTATAATGCAATGTATTTGGGCGAAATTTATTTCATAACTCAAATATCTGTACTCATCTTTCAATCTTTTGCAAAACTACAGGCTTCCGATCCTCATTGACTTCAAACTTCAATTCACTTATTTATCATAATGATAATGCTTTGTTAATACTTAATTGCGAGATCCGTCATTTCAGGACTTTTTCTGCCTCATTAAAAAGCCACTTGCTTGAATGTGGAATTGTGGATGCAAAATTATCGGAAGTAAACGGCTTTTCGAAAACAACTGAACTGCGGCGAGACAAGTAGCGACTGTTTTTACTATACTTCGTTTAACTTGTCTTCCTAATCTTAATGGCTTTTCCGCGACCAACGTATAGTTGTTGTTGAATCTTCAGTTTTCGATGTTATATCTTTTTCTTCACAAAGTTCAGTCTAGTCTAGGCACCTTTCTCGAAATAATCTCCTAAAATCGAAAAAGACTGACTCACACTCATTGTATATTTATATATGACAGAAAAGGGAGAGGTTTGGGGTGAAAACCACCGCTACCGCTATACAAATTAATAAAACCAAAACCCGGGTATCGTAACCGTTCTTTGTCAATTGAGGTAATCTTTACCTTTCACTCAGTTAGTGTAAGTGTTGTTATACGTCCTTGGAAAGAGCTCTTCATGAAATAATTTCTAAAATTTGTATTACAGACCTTTCATGCATTGTTTAATTCTTTAAATATTCTCACAAAGAACAACGAGCAATTCACTGCGATAAATTTTCATAACTTAAAGTGGAAGCCAAAATTCCGTTTTGCTCATCGGTTCTGCTCATGACAATGTGAGGTTCTCAGATAAATATTTTGCCCAAATTTCGCATTTTTCGATCAGAAACACTAGTTAAAATTTATTTAATTAAAGCAAACCTAAATGTTGTTAGATAGTCAGCACAACAGAATGTATTTCAAAAAGTATAGAAGTTCAAAATGTAAGCAAACAGTTTGTTTGCATATGAACTTGACTTCCACTTTAATGCTAATGTTGATTTTTCCGCAAAACACTGATTATACGCACATGGTATTAAAGCTTGTATACTATATGCTTCTCACCAAAGTTGATAGTAAATGTGTCAAATATGTTATGAAGATTCTGAAAAATGCGAATGTTTTTGCCGCCATATGCATGTCGGTGCATGCATGGATAAATTCAAACTATCGCATGCAAGCCATTTATCTGCATGCATGGAATTAACGATTTTTAAACATCTCTGCAAACATGGCGGCATACAACTAACATCATATAAATAGTTGTGTACGTCGTAAAGCCAGTTTATTTATGATATATTATGTAGAGAGATATATGTAGCTATATATCAGTATATACATGCACCAGGTAAAGCAAGAGAAACTTGAATAATCGTCGCGTAAATCAAAAAGTAAATTTAGGATGTAAAACCACTCCTGGGATTGGTTGTCAAAAGCCGGTTAGCTTAACCCTGGGTTAAAGCAAATATTTACATTAATTTTTTTGATCGACTGTTTACAAAGTATCATAAATATTTTCTGGACTGATAGAAGTCTATTTTTTAAAGTTTTGAAACGAACCATGCATGGCTCAGAAGCGCATAAACTGCTAAATAAGACACTGGATTAAAATTTTTACCCAGGGCTATATGCTAAGCTAGCTTTGAACAACTGGCCTCTGGGGTACATCAGTTAAAAGAAAGTTGATAACCAGTTATAGTAAAAAAATACGGCTTTTAAGTAAGAATTATTGTGATACAGATATAATCATACAGCTAGATTTGTAATGTAGTATTATATTCACGAACATCACAAATGTATAGCATGCAACAATTGTGGACATTAGCTAATTTTATAGTGATTGCTTTTTATAATTTCACGAACAGAAAAGTGTACAATTTATAAAAGCAAAATTAAAGTAACTTGAGCTGTATATGCATGCTTTGGCATGACTATTATTTTTCATTTTTTAACAAAGTGTTTTTCTTGGGACTGCAGGGATCAATGCGGGGAGTTAATTGAAATCTTCGTGAACACGCTTTTTGAATTAACCTGATCCAGATAAAGATTGTTGAATGCTATTTTTGAAAGAAACCTACACATGTAATGACCTACTTGCATAATAGACAAACGTGTGATCTAGGTAATAATAAGAAAATAAATCACCAGTGCTAAAAAGAGTATATACTAAAGTAAGTATAGTTGCTAAATTTAGCTGTAAAATGTCAGGTAGTACGGAAAATATAGCCATATAATTATACAAAGTAGGCAATTTTTGTATACTTTTGTATTACAGGGGAAAATGTATTAATTATACTCTTCCGGCCATAGTATACAAAGTTATGCAAAATTTACCAAAACGCCTTGATGTAGTTCAAGAACTATCTTCGGTATTTTACAATATTTCGCAACTTTTCGGAAATTCCTCTTTTGTTGCCTAAATCAAAAGTTGGTCTGTTATGAAAGTGGTCCATTGAAACAGTTAAACGATAAATTCAAAAAATTAAGGCAATGCACGAAAAAGGACAATGCAGCGATGCCACAAGAGCTTTCCTCCAGGCTCTTTCCAGTCGAGGACTTGCATGGCACACGGAACGATACTCTCAAACTCTTGTTGTCCGCGGTGGATTCCTTTGACCGGTCACAATTGAAAAGGAAATCATGCAAGCAAAAACTTTTGATCAAACGAAAAATTCTGACTCGTAGTCGCCGAGCTTTTGAGTATGAGTTTGTTGGCAAATTTCGTACTCGAAAGCCCAACGACTACGAGTTTTGGCTGATGGCGTAAGCAAACAACGCGCGAGAATGACGAATCTCGTACTCGTAGTCGTACTCGTAGTCACTGCTAAAGGTCCCTATTGTTGACTGCACAGACATAAAAATATTCTATCACATCAGCCACCCTGACTTTTCACGACAATTACGACTAAATGAAAACATATTTTTTCAATAATCAATTTCGTTTTTATTTCGCAGATAGTTCAATTGAGACAAAAGCCCTAGTCCCACCCGTTTTTAAAATATACGTTCCCGAAACGTATCCCCGGAACTTACTACTTTTAGTTACTTCTATAGTAGTAAGTATACGAATGATTCGAAAACATTGACCGCGAACCTGATATTTTCAACACCAGTCGGTTTAAAAAGGCTAAGAAACCATTTACATGCATGCATTTGGGTACATCACATGTAAGTTATTATCAACAATGCTAGGCAAATTTTTTGAAAAGCCATAGGACATCCTGATTGCTCAATATCCTTCGACACATATCTCGCGATCAAATTGCATCTAAATTCCTTATATCACATGATTGATATGCGTTTGTCCAGCTGTAGAGTATACATAACATACGACAAGCTATTTCGTTCTTGCAAAATCTGAAATTTCCTTGCTGTATCAGTGCCAGTTAATACCACACTTGACTTGTGCTTGGAATGTTATGTCGATGATGCAGTCGCTAAGGTGCAGGTAATGTGATTATTACATTTTCTATGCTAATCCCTTTTAAGTTATTTGCATTATAAGACCATACTGACCGGAACTACAAAAGATTTCGTTAAACAAAGAACTGCTGTCTGTGAAAGAGTCAGTCGAAATAACGCCACCTCCGCATTGTTGCACGAGAATGCATAGGCACTATTGTTTATTGTAGACGCATGCCAGGAATGCTTCTTCTTAATTTCATGTAGAATAAATTCTAAATCAAAAATTTTCAAAGTACATATAGTACATTCCAGTCATATTTTCACTGTAGTATAGATTGCTTTAAAACATACCAAAACAACGTAATTTGGCTAAAAAAGGTTTTTCTTTCGAGTACAAAATTAACCAACAAACTCGTATATATACTCAAATTAAAGCGCGGGGACTACGAGTTTTGGCTAATGGCGTAAGCAAACAACGCACGAGAATGACGAATCTCGTACTCGTAGTCGCTGCTGAAACTCCCTATTATGTCGTAATACCTGAAGGGTGGATATACTCGCGTTTGATCAGTTTTTTCGATCGTATGTCCCCTAATTTAAACTCTTTCGAATAATAAGGAACTGTTTGCCTTCGTACGACATCTGACGAGACTCGTGGTCGTTGGGCTTTTGAATGCGGAAATAATCAATACTAAAAAGCGCAGCGACTACGAGTTGGCGTAAACAAACTATGGCGTAAGCAAACTATGGCGTAAGCAAACTATGGCGTAGGCAAACAAGTGCGAGACTGACGAATCTGGTATTCGTAGTCGTGCTTGTATTCATGCATTGCTAAAACTTCTCAGTATTTTCCTGCCGCATCATATTACGCATGCCGGCATGCGTCTAGTTATTAAGAATGACGATATATGCGATGACGTGTCTATAAATCACGTGATGAACGAAGTGATTAATAAATAATCCCCAAGCCGGCGTGGATCGTCGTGCGAGACTACTGATTTCGCTGGGAGAGTGATTGCAGCTGGTTACTTTGAGAGAACACGGACGAATCCAAATCAAAGTTATGTAAATTGCGTCCTCCCAAATTCGTATCCTTATCCAAATTCTATTCTGATCGATATATGTATGATTACTCAAAACAG